GGTGCCCGGTGGGCCGGGGCTGGCGGCGGCGGCGCCCGGGGGCGCTGGGGTCTCCCTTAGAGCGGGGGGCAGTTGACCTGGTGCCGGATGCCCTCGTTGCAGAGCAGGGCGGCCGCGCGCTCCTCGTTGTCGCCGTGCTGGCACTGCATGTAGCTCATGCCGTGCGGCGAGTAGCTGTGGTGGCACACGGTGCACGCGCGGGGCATGGTGCCGCCCGTGCTGCTCCTCGGGGGGACACGGAGAAATGAGCGCCCGCGGCGCCCGCCGCTGCCCACCCGCATCCTGAGGGCGCCCGCTAGCCCTCGCTGGTGCCCATCAGCCCCCACTGGCACACACTGGTGTCCCTCAGCACCCACCGGTGCACATCGGTGTTTGGAGGCACCCCCAGGTGCCCAGGGCCACCCACTGATGTTCCTCAGCACCCATTGACACCCACTGGTGCCCGTCAGCACTCACTGGTGCACACTGATGTCTGGTGGGGCCCATTGGGGTCCATCAGCACCCACTAGCACCCATTGGTGTCCCTGGGTACCCGTTTGAGCACACTGGTGTATGAGGGCACCATCAGTGCCCACGGGCACCCACTGGTATCCACCAGCACCCATTAGCACCCACTGCTGTACACTAGTACCCACTGGTGCACACTGGTGCCTGGTGGCACCATCAGTGCCCAGGGACACCCACTGGTGCCCATCAGCACCCGCTGCAATCATCGGTTCCCACCAGTACCCACTGGGGCACACTGGGGTCTGGGGGCACCCATTGGTTTCCACCAGGACCCATTGACTCCCCCCGGCCCCATCAGCACCCACGGGCCCCTGTGCTTATCCCCCTCGTCCCCCGGCGCCCAGCAGCACCCAGTGATGCCTGGCGGTGCCCAGGGTGCCCGTGCGGCCCCTGTCCCCGCGCGCGGTGCCCGCTCACCTGCAGTCGCTGCACGTGCGCTGGCACTCCTTGCGGCGGTAGCGGCAGATCAGGGCCCAGATGAGGAGCCCCAGCAGCGTGAGGAGGAGGAGGGAGCCCAGGATGGAGCCCACGATGATGCCCGCTTGCCTTCCCCCTGCCGGCGCCACAAACCCTGTCACGGCCGGCCTCCCGCCGGCTGCCTACGAGTGGCCCCGCTGCTGGGCAGCTCTGCCCGGGGAGCCCATTGCAGCCCCCGCGCCACCTCCCCGCGCGGGCACCTACTTGGCCGGGGGTCGAGGCTGAGCTGGCACGTGGAGTAGCCCACGCGGTTGCTCACGCGGCACTGGTAGACGCCGGCGTGCTGCTCCGACAGGCCGCGGATCAGCAGGTCGCCAGGAGCCCGTCCTGCGTGGGAGAGACGGGGTGCTGCGGGACCCGCCGTGGGCACCGCAGGTCGCCCGTGGGGATGGGTGCGTGCACATGCAGGCGCCCATGGGTGCGGGTTGCGGGTGGGCATGGGCACCCATAAGCGTGGGACACACGGACTCTCACACACACGAGCACACGCGCACGTGGGGCCGCGCAGACAGGAGCGGGCACGGACACAGGTGCACGAGCACACGGGTGCCAGCGGAGATGGGCGCTTACAGTCATGGGTGTCCACACACACTGGTGGACATGGGTGCCAACAACACAGCCACACTCACCCATGGGCACCCACAGGTGCATGCGGACATGGGCACCCATGGATTGGGACACCCATCCCTCCCTCCTGCGCCCCGGCACCCACGGCACCCCGCTCACCTTGGACGGTGCCCGAGGGCAGGCGGCCCCCGCCGTAGCCGTCAGACTGCTTGGCCCACTGGTAGGCGAGGGGGCTGGTCCCTCCTCGGCTGTAGCAGCGCAGCAGGACGCTGCTGCCCTCCGCCTGCTCGCCCTCCGTCCAGCACTGCGGCGCGGCCGGTTTCTCTGCGGGGACGGAGGCGCCGTGAGCGCCGCGGGGCGCCGGGCAGGGCGCACGCGGGCATCCCCGCCGCCGCGCTCACCTTGCACGGTGACGATGACTTCGTGCACGGCCACGGTGTTCTTCTTCACCCGGCACTGGTAGGTGCCCGTGTCGGAGACCTGCAGGTCGGCCAGGCGGATGGAGGCGTCGTACTGGCTGGGGTCGTTCTGCACGAAGGCCACGCGGTTCTGCAGCCCGGAGCCGCTGCCGTAGTTCACGTGGTGGTCGTGGTAGGACAGGAACTGAGAGAGGGGCGAGCGGTGAGGCCGGGCAGGGCGGGCGCCGGCTGCCAGCGCCGCGGGGAAAAGCCCCGGCCACTTCCATGGGCAGCCGTCCCGGCCGGCAGCTCGGCCCTGCCGGGTCCTTCCGCAGTGCTCCTGGTCTTGCCTGACCCACATTGCTCTGTCTGCTCCTTCCTGATCCTGCTCTACCCGCCTGGTCATGCATGGTCATCCCCGGTCCTGCCTGCTCGTGTTGGGTCCCTCCTGGTCGTGCTGGGTCCCTCCTGGTCCTGTCTGGTCATTCCCAGCCCTGCCGGGTCCTGCCGGGTCCCTCCCAGTCCTGTCTCCTCATTCCCAGCCCTGCCCGGTCCTGCCCGGTCCGTCCCTGCCTGCGGCTGTGGATTCAGCTGGACCAGGGACCTGTGCAGGTGCCGGGGGCTCTGCAGGTGCCGGCACCAGGGATGCTCTCCTGAGCTGCGCAGAGAGGGAAACTGAGGCACCGAGTCGGAGCCGAGCCCGCGAGCACCGGCCGCACTCACCACGTTCTCCGGGCCAGTCCGCTCCGGTGTTATCTGGATCCACTCGATGCCCAGGTCCTGGGGACCGTTGTCTTCGGGCTCGAGGACGTAGGGGCAGCCCAGCTTAACGGAGTCACCCTTGGCCAGGTAGAGCACCTCCCGGCCCTTGCTGTTGATCCGCACAGCCAGCAAGAGAGCTGCCAAGAGAAGTCACCGGTGTCACCGCGCGGGAGCACGCGGGTCCCCACGGCCCGCCCAGAGCCCTGGCACCCGCAGCCCGTGTCCCGGCACCCGACCCCCTGGCAGCAGGGACAGCAGGACCCATCCGCCAGGAACGGGCATCCTGCAGGGAACAGGCTTCAACCGGAGCCGGGAAATCCATGCGGTCCGGGCATCCTGCTGGGACTGGGCACCTGCCGGGGCTGCGCGGTGGAGCCATCGGCACCGCGTGGAGGTGGCAAGTTCAACACCCTCTATCTCCATCCTTCCATCTCCATCCTGCCAACCCCGTCCCGGCACCCTGGGGATGCTCTAGGGCTGGGCACAGCCACCTGCATCCTCAGGAGCATCCTGAGCGGGACGGCACCGGAGCGGGAGCGCGTGGCATCCCTCGATGGCACCGCGGCACACCGCAGGAGCCCGGGGGCACCTACCTGGCATGAGACCCAGGAGCAGGAGCAGGCGGGTGCCGTGCCCTGCCATGACGCTGCAGCCGTGCGGGGGACGCGGGCAGTGCGGGACGAGCGGCGGCGGAGGAGGCGACGGGGAAGCGCGGCGCCCGGCGCCGCTTTTACATGCTGGGCCGGGGCGCTCCTCCCTGTGGGGCGGATGCCTTTGGGATGACTGCGTGGCTCCAAGCTGTGAGTGAGCGATGCCGCCCTGCTCCACTCCCTACCTGCTAATTAAGCGCTGCCATCCCACGGGCTCCTTTCCAGGTGGCGCCGGGATGGGGGCTGCTGCAGGGGGCACGGACAGGGGCCACCCGGTGAAGCTGGGGCCACCCGGTGAAGCTGGGGACACCCGGTGAACTTGGGGACACCCGTGCAGGGCAGCGGAGCAGGGAATGGCAGGATGTGGCCCCACGGTGCCCGGTTGCCCGGTGCATCAGCAGAGATGAGCGTGGCTGGTGGGAAAAGTTGCCTGGGACCCACTGGAAGCAGCTTTGCACCCTAGTGATGCGGAGCGTGGCCCAACACAGATGGCCAAGGGATTTTGGTGTCCCAGCAGGACTCAGGGGCATCGGAGGAGCTTAAAGGTGTGGTTCGGTCATGGGGTTAAGCTGCCCCAACCTTCCCTCCTGCAGTCCTGCCCCTTGGGGAGTGGGCACGGGGATGGGGACACCTGCAGAGCCCACGTCAGCGCTGTGGGTCCCACGGAAATGCAGCGCTATGGCCACGCTGGTCCCCCGTGCTCTTGACATGGGGACATGGTGGCAGCATGGCCATGAGAGTGCAGATTCCCAATCCATGCATTGTGGATGGGAGCAGACGTGCAGCGCCGAGCGCAGCGGAAGAGCTGAGGGATGAGGATGAGAGATGTTTAAAACTGGCCCTGATCTGAGGATAGGACCTGGAGACAGGGATGGAAGATGGGGAGACAGCAAAGCTCTGCAGTGGAGGTCAGAGGAGCTGGGGACAAGGAGGCTCAGCAGTGGGGATGCAAGCTTTGGGACAGCGATGCTCTGCAGCGGCGGGGCAGGATTTGGGAACAGGGATGCTCTGCAGAGGGGATGCAGGATGCCAGGACAGGATGCCCTGGAGCCGGTGGAGGAGGTCGGATCAGGATGCGCTGCCCTCTGGGAAGGCCTTGGTCACAGAAGCCTTGGGACCCCAGCGCACAGGGACGCCCTGGTCCTGTGACCCACTCCCTAAGCCCGGCTCATCCCCGCACAGGGCAGCACAGAGGAGAGTGGCGCTTTCCAGCCAGCAACTGCCCAAACCAGCCGGGCAGCACCGCCCGGCCGGTCCCAAACCCTCCCCGGGGCCACATGCTGCTCCATTTACTGGCCCGGAGCTGAGCTCACCCGCTGCCGCTCACCCTGCGCTGGCCGGCGCCGGGGCCAGGGCCGAGCGGAGCACGTGCTCGGCGTCCCCAAGGCTGGTGACTCCCGCATTCCTCGGCGCGGGGCACCCCTCTCGCGCAGGAAGGGTGGGGAAGCGGCTCCACCCTGGGGAGCCAGTGGTCAGGGCACCCTCGGCCGGGCTGGAGCAGTGGCTTTGAAGCCCTCCAGGCTGAGCCTGGCCTAGAACAAGGCTGGGACTTCCTGGCTGGAGCGGTGACCGAGAGTGACACGGCCAGCAGGCTCTGGGCAGCGAGGGCAGCCCCGGCGCTGCTGGTGCCCTCCCAACCGGCTACTGGTGCCAAAGTCCCGAGGGGGCTTCGGTGGCACGTGCCAGGACGGGCTTCTTGTCTATATTTAAGGTACCTCCTGGATGCCCTGCAGTGCCAGGGCTGTCTATTACTGAGATGAGCTTCCCAGCCCAGCAGGGCCTGGCTCCGTCGCTCCTTGCAGACACAGGAGCTGAAGGAAAAAGCCAGGGAAGAGCCAACAGGAGGCTGCGACATCTCCCCAGCTGCATTTATCCCCCGGAACGGCGCTGAGCTCGAGCAGAGTCCTGCAAGCCGTCTCCCTGCCCTGCCTGGTCTCACCTTTGCTGGCCCTCATTATTTTTTGGCTACTCTGGCAATTAATCAGAGCCACTCCTGGGGATGCCGGCCACCCGCCCTGCCCGGCCGCCGCGGCTGCCAGGCCCAAATCCTTATAGTGTTTGCATCGAGCTCTGGTTTCTTGGCTCTGCCGCCGGAGGAGGCCACTGCAGCAGAGCCTAGAGGTGAAATCTGGGGGAGAAAACGGCGCTTTCGGGGCTGGCGGAGCTGCGGGGCAGTGACAGCCCCTCATCCACCGTGAGCAGCCCTGTGAGCCAATGTCAAAGCTGTGTGAGTGGAAGAGCCCACGTGGTTCATGAGGGACCTTCCCGAGCCACCTCACCTGGCCTGGGAGTATCCAGCCTGCTCTGACGTGCTTTGGTGCTGACGGTGACAGCTGCTGCGCAGCCAAACCAAGGGCCTGGAGACGCTCTTGTCCCCTCTGAGGACACAGGCTGCCTCTGACACCTTTTCCTGCCAGGCGTGGAGATACAGACGTGGAATCAGCTTCCCGTCGTCCCTCGGAGCAGGAGGGAGAAGGGACAACAGCCTTTCAGACTACTCAGGCTCATGGAGCTACTCCCAGCCTGCGATCCCAAAGCAAGCAAACAATGAAGGGCACCGAGCGTTCCATAAATAACTCCCTTTATAAAAATTCAGTCTAAGAAAATAGAAACTCTTAAGTTGCTGGGGAAACAGCACTCGCTTCCTTGCAGGGCTGAGCCAGGCCGGGGGCTGCCCTTGCTTCGCTCAAAGCCTTCCGCTCCACCTGGGCACAGTATTTCTCCGGGATGCCAGAGGCTCTGCAGAGGGAAGAGAAACCATCAGGCAGCCCGTGTTGCACCGGGGCTGGGGTTTCAGAGCACAGCCTTGGAGCAGATGTTGTTTGAAGAGGATGTGAAGGATCCTCCTGCCTCCTGGGAGGTTCAGAGGTAGAGGATGACCAGGAAGGGCTTTCTGTGATGCTGGGAAACGTGCCCCAGGTACCGAGGTGGTCCCGGAGGGCCCGTTACCTGAGCTCCTGCATCTTCTGTCGCTTGAGCTCGGTGAGGCGCTCGCTGCGCTGGCGGGCCTCCTCCTGCAGCCGCCGGCCCTCCTCGAAGGCGGCGACGCGCTCCTGCACCAGCTTCTGCTGATGCTCCCGCATCTGGCGCCGCACTTCGTTGGCGTGCGCGAGCTGCAGCGCTGCCCTCTGCGCCTCCTCCACCTTCTCCTTCTCAATCTGCTCCCGCTGGGCCCTGGAGGAGACCTCGGGCCAGGTGAACGGCTCTCCCGGCAGCCCCTGCCCTGCTTGCTGGGCCTGGGCCAGCGCCAGAGCTCATTTTTGTCACCGGCCGCCACCGCAGCGCTCTGCTCCGCAAGGCAGGCACCGGCCCGTCGCGCCACCGCCGCTCACCTGAGGATCCTTTCGAAGTCGTCGCGGTCCTGCTGCACCTGCACGGCCACGCTGTGCTCCCGCGCGGCGATCTGCTCCAGGCGGCTCTGCTTCAGCATGTTGTCCGTCTCGGCCTTCTTCCGGGCGGCCTCCTTCTCCTTGCGCCGCCACTCCCGCTCGGCAGCCTCCTGGCTGCGCTTGGCCCTCAGCGCGTCCTGCGGCAGCAGAGCAGCGAGGCTGGAGCACCCAGCAGCGGAGAGGACGGGGCTGGGTGGGCAGCTTTGGGGAATCCATCCTCCTTCCACGCTGCGGGGAATCCATCCGTGGTTTGCCCCTGTCCCGGACGGAGCTGCTCCCGCCCACCTCTCGGCGCGGGGAGTTGGGATGTCCTGGTGAACATCTGGGGAGAGCGATGCTACGGGGCAAGGACTTTGCTGCCCACCTGCAGCTCTTGTGTGTTGGGAGGCATGAGGAGATCCCACCACCTCCTCCCAGGGTTGGGAATGCAGCACGACACTATTCCCACTGGGCTGAGGGCTAGGGGGCTAGTTTCATAAGCTGGTGTCTGTTTTTCAGGATGTTTCCTGGCACTTCCCAACTCTTCCAGAGGCAGGGGTGAGGCAAAGAGCTATTCAGCCCTCGCTGCTTCATCCAGCCTCTGGCCCAGGGGCCTTCACAGCCACTGCCCAGCTCCAGGATAGCGCTGGTCTCTCCCAGAGCTGGATCTGCAACCCTCCAGGTATACCCACCACATCCAGGGAAGCTTCCTCTTTGCTGGGGTGGCCATGAGGGAGGGGACAGGAGAAGCCAGGACTGCACGGGAGCAAGGGGCAGTCACGGCAGGGCTGCTCACCTTCTCTGCCTGGTAGTCCTGCGCTCTCTCCTGCAAGGCCCTCAAACGGGCCGTCTCCTTCTCCTTCTCCCGACGGATTCTCTCCTGCTCAGCCTCAAACTCCGCTTCCCGGGCCTACGTGGGACACAGCCTGGTGGAGCACGGACGGACCACACCGGCCAGCTCACACAGGTGCAGAAATGCTAAGGTCCTTGCAGAGGACCCGGGATGGGATGGGACAAAACGGGAGGGTTTCTCAGCGTGCTTTTTTCGACGCCCATCAGGTTGCAAGCTGCTTTGGGCAGGGGCTGGCGATGCCACCTGGACTCTCCACCCCAAGTACCATTTTCTGCCTCTGGTACTCCAGCACCCGCTGATCTGCCATCTTCTCCCGCTGCAGCTGCTCCTCCTTGAGCCTCTGGTTCTCATTGTTGATACGTTTAATCTCGGCCTGGATTTTCCTCTGCTGCTTATGCTTGCGCTCCAAGTCCTGAAAAAGGCGAGAGGCAGAGGGTGGGAGGGGTGACAGGGAAGAGGCCACACGCAGAGCACTCCCTTTGCTCAGCAGCAGCACTCAGGTTGTCCGAGGGCTCCAGAAGGGACCAGAGCCTTCATTCTGCTGGCTGTTGTCTCCGCACATTGAATCTAACTTACCCAGCACTGCGACTCCCTTCCAACGAGCTGAAACTCTACCTCCAGCCCCCGTTACTCCCCAGTGGCTCCCCGGTTTGTGCCTGTCACACCTTCAAGTCTTCCATCTGCATCTTCTTCAAGCACTCCAGCATCTCCTGAGCCTCCTGGTCCCGCTGCTCGGCTCTCATAGCCCTCTCCTCTGCATTCTTCTCGATCTGCTTCACGAGCTCCTGCCTCCCTCTGTAAAGAAGAGGCAAAAAGGTTCTGTCTGGCTCAACCCCAGTGCCCAAAGCAGCCACGTCAGCACAGACATCAGGTGAAGCCCTTGCTACGAGTGCCCCTCTGCAGCCTGGTGCTCCCTGCCCCAGCTGCTGTGACTGGAGATGTGGCATGAAGTCCTCATCCTTCCTCCCAAGTCCCCTGGGAGGATGGATGCCTCTGTGCAAGGAGGAACCTTCCCGCTAACCTGATGAGCTGCTGCTTCCTTTTGTACTCCAGTTCCTCCTGCCTTTCACTGGCCTTCTGTCTTTCCACCTCCATCATCCGGGCCAGGCGCTTCTCCTCCTCCTCCAGCTCCTTTGTGATTAGCTGCTTCTCCAGGATCTGGGTGTCACGGATCATGTGGCACTTGGCATTGAGGATCAGCTGTGGGGACAGCAGGTCTCTCTGGTCTCCGAAATGGCAACAGGGACAGACATACAGACAACAAGGAGGCGGAAAAGGGAAGGAGGGAAAGGCCAAGGGCAGCGACAGGCAGAGCAGGCTTTAGACCTAGTCCTAGCTGTGCTGTGAAGCCACTGAGGATCTTGAGGTAGCCCCTTAATCTCTGCCTGTTGTTTCCTCAGATGTAAAAGGACTGAAGAAGGGAGAGCAGACTTGGGTGCTCCTAGTTCCCCATGAGGCCATCCTGCACGTGCAGGGGCCTTCAACAAGCTGCTTGGGGGCCCTCAACAGCCTCTTCTAGCAGACAACTGAGGTCTTAACACTGCCAGGGCTGCACCCACTCCGGGGGGCTCCAGGTCTCGTGACCCAGTGGGATATTCACATCTGCTGGAGGAGGAGCACGTGGGTCCTGGCAGGACAGAAGCTCCTACCCATGCCGGGCAGCAACCTGGCCCTACCTCGCTGAACTCCTTGATCTCGTCTTCCTGCTCCATGCGCATCCTGGTCGCCCGCTGCAGCAGGTGCTGGGCCCGCTCCCGCGCCTCCTCCTCCAGGTCGTTCAGGTGGTCCTTCCTCTGCTGCAGGATGGCCCTCTGCTTCATGGCGTTCTTGCGCTCACTCGCCGCTTCCTGAGGAGACAGGCAAGGTGCTGAGAGCCCGAGAGCGCTCCCGGCGCGGCCGTAGCTCTGCAAGGGCGACCGTGTCTCGTGCCGAGCCGTCCTGAGGGTGCCCTTGGGCAAATCTTGCTCCCGAGGAGCGCCCTCCAACTGCGCTGTGCCATGCACACGGAGCCCAGGAGCACGGCAGGCCCTTCCAGCTGTGGCACGAGGGCTGGGCAGCCCCTTCCCACGTGCGCAGGGAGGTGCCTCACTCAAAGCAAGGGCATCGAGGGCCTCATTGCACCTTCTAAGGCAGCAGAAAAGCAGCCCAGAGGCTTCGTCCCAGGCAGCTTGGAGAGTTGGTGGACGTGTTGGATGGTCCCTCCAAGTAAACCCAGGGTTCCCAGCACATCCCAGGAGGGATAGGGGCCCTGAGGAGACCTAAGGTTTCAACACAGGCATCCCCTGCATGGTGACCACTGGTAGCAGTGACCAGGCCACCACAGTGCATGGGCAGCAGGGAGAAACACCACGGTCCTCGAGCAGAGCTCCAAGGACAGCCCCGGCTGGGGTGTCAGACCCAAAAGGTTGGCTCCACCTGGGAGCATCCACCTCCACCAGCATCCTGAGATGTGCCTACAAGCAGCTAAGGAAGGATGGAAGGGGAAGCAGGGCAAATGCCTACTAGAACGGCGTTCTTCTCCGCTTTGAGGGCTGCCAGCTTGGCCTCGCGCTCCTCCTTGCTCAGGACTCGAGATGCTTCTTTGATGCGCTGGAAATCCTCCAGGCTGATCACAAGGGACGCTGCCGGGTTCTCCACGGGGACGCTGGCACGGGAAGCAGGGCACAGAGAGAGTCAACGGCCCCCAGGCTCCTACCCCTCCATCCTCCATCCCCTGACCCACTCACGTCCCTGCCGGGGTTGCGGGAGCGCCCGGGCGAGCCCGAGTCACGGGAGAGCAATGCAGGAAGCGCGGGAGCTGCAGGCTGCCCCGGCGCGCGGGACGGGGCGCGATTCCCAACCCGGGAGAAGGCAGAAACAGAAAGTGCAGTGAAAGCCGCGCGGTGCCGGCATGCGGGGAGAGCAGGACGCACGGCAGGGCGGCGGGAAGGCTCCGGTGGGAACCCCGCCACGTCCAGCACGGAGCCGCTCAGCCCTGGTAAGAGAGGCTGAAAGCAGCTCGGACCTTCCCGGCTTTCATTTAGGGAAAGTGTCACCTAAAGTGGTCCTGCTGTCTTCCCAGTGGGACGCACAGACTGGTCCCTTGGGCATCTCCTGAGCTCTGCGCCCACAATGCGGGAAACCACAGACTTACCCATCCCGTCCCTTTATGTCCCCTCTCAACCTGAAACCTCTGTTCCATCCGGCTGGATTTGGGGAAGGAAAAGGCATCTTTTTATTCTGTTTTATAACACGCCGCCTGCTCAGGCTCCAGACTTGCACAGCGCAGTTTAGCTTCGGCTCTGCCCTCCTACGAATCTCTCCTGGATTCCTGGATTTCCAGGAGGAAACACTGCACTGCCCAAACTGCAGCACCTTCTTCCCGGCCCGTGCCAGGCTGCCCCAGTAGCCACTGCGTTTTTGCCGGAGATTTAGCAGGTTCAGTGGAACGAGCTGCAAAGCCACAAACCCTACACGTGACTTGCGCTGTGGCTTACAGGAAAGCACGGAAGCTTTTGGTGCCCCCATTTCCCCACTTGTAAAAATGTGGATAATAACACGGGGCTGTTTTCCACGGGAGCTGTAGGGAGTTAATTACCTTTTGTATTACTCAGATACCATGGTGACGCGTGCGGTGCAGGAGCGTATATTAACGAAACACATAGAGCACTTTGAAGATGCTCAGGACTAAGAATTTAGTCATTATTATTATGTGTCACCTTTCATCCACCCATATGAATATGAAGAGATACCTGCATAATGATCATTTGAGCGACTGCATCACGGCATCGGATTCCAGGACGCTTTAAAGAATGGCTAATGCTAACAACGGCAGTAATAAATGTAATGACACAGTGGCCACGACTTTAGTTGTCTCAGTGTTTGGGTGACCAACTCGAGATGTCTAGGGCTTGATTTTCAGGAATTAAAGCAGCGCAAACAGTTTCCATCAGCTTCAGCCCTGGCCGTGCAGATCTGGAAACTGGCCCTTGGCTCCATCAGCGCGGCCAGAGAAGCAGTCGAGCTTAAGAATAAGCTCAAAGTAAGTCTTGAGAACCTGCATCAGCGACTCTATCATTTCACTCTCCATTAAGAAGAAAAAGAGAAACAAGGGAAGCCATCCATGGAGCAGATCCCGGGTTTGTTTTCCGACTTTCAAAGCACCACATTACAGCTCCAAACAGGAAGCGGAGATGAACCCTGCACAGAGCTGTAACTACAAAGAAAATGCAGGGAGGTTAAAATTAGGCTAAACTGGATCTTGCCAGGATAATGGCCTTAGTCTTGTGTATGTGCTGCAGGCTTCTTAACGAGGTGCAGTAATTAGGAGCAGGGTTCATGCAGTTCAGCCCTGCTTATAAACATCCCTGTGGAGAAGCAGCGAGCTCCCAGCTGTGCAAGGTCACCCAGTGCCCACACGGGGCTTTTCAGCGCAGGGGCAGTTTGGAACTGTTTGATTCGTGAGTGTTTGCCTCTTCTGAGGAGATACTTGCTCCCCAAAGAGCTCTGCTGGCTGCTGAGAGGGCTTTCTAGCTCCATGCTGCTTTGCCCTGGTTCTCGGGATGATAAAAGGCCACGTGCTCAATGCTCGCCAGCTCCATCGCTGCTCCAGCCAGGCAGATCGGATCCGTGCTGCTCATTCCTGCCCTGAGACGTCCTCGCAAACAGGCTCAGCCCACAGAGCTGCTGCTGTGACAGACACCCCCTTGCCCCCCCCGCCAGCTTCCCAAAAGCCACGGACTTACACGAGGTCACGGATGAGGTCCTTGGTGATGAGACGGATGGTGTCTGGCTTGCGGCCGCCAGCGGACGACGCTTTCCGGGCCGGCTGTGCATCCTGAAGGATCACGATGGGGCTGTCGGCGCGCGACGGCTGCAGGTTCTGCAAGGAAGGGGTGACATTTGCTCCCTGCCACCCTCAGCCCATCCCCACGTGTCTTCCCAATAACGTGCCCAGCAGACACATGCGATATGAGCAGGTTGTGGATTCCGGTCACCTCCGTTTTCAGTCATTCCCAGCAAATAGAGCAGCGCCCGCTCAGCTGAGTGGAGCTCATACCAGCCACAGCCTCCCCTCTGCTTGTTGCTGAGGAGTGGTACCGGAGTGCTGCTGGAGCAGGGAAAACACCGCGGGATCTGGCAGGAGCAGGGAGAACGCGGCAGAAATAACGGGAGACTGAACCAGCCTCAATGAGGATTCCTGGCAAGAGGGAACTCCTTGAGGTTCAGCTGTTTGGGACCACAGCGCGGCTGGGTCCTGAGCAGAAACCAGCTCTCCCAGTACAAGCTGCCCCGAAGCTGCTCCGGCTCCCTTTGCCCGAGCCGACACTGCCACCTACTGAAGTGTCACCCTGTCCCCACGGGCCGGGTGCCAGGTGCCCTTCTCCGTGCCCATCTCCTGCAGGAGCCGGGTGGGAAGCTGCAAATCCCCAAGGCAGCTGCGTCCGCAACCCTTGGGACAGGCCATGGATACTGGGGCACTAAGATGCTCTCCGTGGCCCCGCTCGAGGGAAGAGCCTCCCAGGATCCGCTCCTTGGCACATGCGGATCACGGGGAACGCTCCTGGCTCCCAGGACACAGGATACTCCATCCATAGGGATGAGAAGGGGCTTGTCCAGCAGGCACAAGGTCTGGAGCTGCGATGCGGGAGCAGCTCCGCAGCTCTGGGAGCTTCTGTGCTGCCTTTTATCTATTTCGGTTCCCAGCAACACCGGCTCGGCGGCTATCAGCGTGAAATGTTGAATTAAAGGGTTTAACACCGAAACACCCTTCCAAACAAAGATAACAGTCTTAATCACTGCACGGGAGCCTCTCTGCTTCCCTCAAAGCTCCTTGCAGCGGCTGCCGATTAGTCCGTGCAATCACACACACCTCGAGGAACCCAATTAGCACTCACGGTTATTGCAACATTTCACCTAACTGCCTCCCAGGCCCCTGGAATAAACAGATTATCGACATGCCTCGGGCGCCTCCGGCTGCCGGGGTGCTCGAATCCCGGATCCCAGCTCTCCGGTCGCTTGCACTGCACCCTCCCACTCTCCCGCAGCCTCCAAGTTCAGATCGGAGGGAGTTTTATTGTGTATTTTCTTCCTCTGATTACTCAGAGAAGCTAGATAGGTTTTGGCAAGCCTTTTTCTTTTCTTTTTTTTTTTGAGGGAGAGATTTGTTTTAAGCGATAAGGCGGTGCGATAGGAAGTTCCAGCCACAAACACCCACACCCACATGGAGAAACGAGGGCCCCGAGTGCTCCGTGCCCTTCCCAAGCCGCGTGGGGCTCCCGCGGAGCACATCCAGCATGGAACGGCTGTGGATCTCTGGCCAGGGCGGAAGATGCAAATCTTGCAAACGGCAAATGCACGAAAACAGCTTAAAGCAAAAACTCCATTTTTTCTGGCATTTCTCTGGGATTTGAAGGCTCTGGTCACTTTGACTAGAATAAAACGTTATTTTCCAGGTGGGGACCAGGGTCCGTGGCTCTTGCTGGGCGTCTCCCAGGCGAGGGGAGAGCGAAGGTGCGAGCGGGGGGAAAGGAGCACTTCCCTACGGAGCTGCGGCTCCCTGCTCATCTGCTAGGCTGGGGCACGGGGCCGGGGATCCTCGCTCGCATCCGAGGAATCCGCTGCTCTCCGGAGCAATCCCGAGCCCCTGCGCCGCTCGGGAAGTCCTGGCATCTTGCACGCCCATAGGGTGATGGTGTAAGGGGCAGCACGGGCTCCTGGGCTCCTTTAGCAGCCGCCCCCAGCGCTCGGGCGCTCCAAGATTAAGGAATGACCTTCTGGGAACGGGGTGTCGAGGGGCTGCAGGCGGCCGCCACACAGGGACGGGGACCCCTGGGTTTTACACCCGACCCCCGGGTTGTACCGGGGGGACAGAAACGTGGCTCCTGGGTGCCCCCTTACCGGGATCCTGGGTTCCCCCTTACCGGGATCCTGGGTTCCCCCTTACCGGGCTCTCGGCGAGCGGTGCCTCATCCCCGTCCCCCCCGGTGCTGCGGGCGCGGCCATGGCGGCGGGCGCGGCTGGAAGCGGCGCTCGGGGGCGCGGGGGCGCCGGCGCAGGGCTGCGGGGACACGCCGTGAGCGCGGGGACCGAGGAGCCCACGGGGACCCCGCGGGGAGCCCGCGGACACGCGCGGGCCGCTCTCACCATCGCGCGGCCTGCGCCGCCGCGCGTCGCCATGGCAACGCCCCCCCCCCGCTGCCCTTGGC